CCAGGAATTGAACCCTGATCGCCTGGATCCCAGGTCGACGCTCAACCGCTGAGCCACGCCTGGCAGGGCCCTTCTGGAATTTAAATCTTCCTTTTCGTCATCATATTTTCCCATTCCCAGAATTCAGAATCTATTTAGACTCTTCACATTTGGCCCATTAGCCTCTTACCAGACTAGATCTTTCTGTTGTTGCCCTGAATAGTTTATGGGAGTGGAAAGCATCAAGGCACGCTCCATATGATTCCACAATAGGAGGGGTGGCCAAACTGCACGGCCGCTGTTCTCACTTTTCTGAGTTTTCTGTTGGTTCTGTGGAAAGCTGCAAATTGCCCCCTGATCCACAGCATCCACTTGGAATTTAAATTTCGGATTGGCTCTTGCTGGAATCCAAGAGCGCTTATTCCATATTAGGTGAGGGTCGGGCTTCCTTTTCAGTAAGCAATCCTGGAGCTTGGTGCTGAGCCGGGATGCCTGTGGGAATGTGTCTCTGGGGGAGGAGGGAGTTTCCAGTGGATGGGGCTTCCACTATCAAGCTCTGCCCCACCTCTAACGAGTCAGCCTCAGGGCTTCCATGAACTCAGGAAAGTGCCCCGTGCTCTGAAAAGGGCTGGAATCCAAGTGTTCTTCTTTGGCTAGAGGGGAAACAATAGCAGGAACCTCCCACCCACCTCTGTCTGCTTCAGGTAGCTGAGATTTTGGAAAGGAGCTGATTGTTTTCCAGTCTTTGGAAGGTCCTGGTCTCCCTTTTATCCAGCCCTCTCCAAAGTAAACACACCTGGGCCTGCTGCAGCAGCTTGGAGGCACAGCCCTGGGCTTGGCTTTGGCTAGTTTCTGACAGCTCAAGAAATGAATTGGATGCCTTTGCCCCCAAATAGCAGACATTTAACAGGCTGTTTTCCTGAGAGCCCTTTGCTGGGCAGAGGAAGCTGGGGCGTGAAGTTCTCATAGGAGTTTAATCCTCAGCACCTACACAGAGCTTGGCAAGTGGCGGGAACTCTGTAGGTTGATATGTTTGTGGAATAAAATGAGTGTGTGTCTCATCAGCCCCATTTTCAGGCCAGGCTTCACTCTTCTCTCTTCCCTTGACCTTCAGCCCAGACTTCAGGACTTCCTTTCTGAGATTTTGCAATTCAATTCCACCTATTTTTTGGATTAGGGGAAGGCAGGGTGGTTTACAAAGGTGAAGAAGACAAGACCCACTAAACACTAAGTACTGAGTAGTTAAAATATGGTGGACCTGCGATCAATTCCCAACTTTTCCATTCATCCTTTTGGTAGTAGAGAAGTCACTTAGCCTCTCTCAGCCTCAGTTCCTCATTGTAAATGGGTAACTATATTTTCAAAGGATTGTGGTGAAAATGAAACAATGCATTGTACTTAGCACAATACCCAGTACCTAGTAAGGATTCAATACAGAATAACAACAACTACTAACATTTATTGAATTCACGCCAGGTACTGTTCTAGGCACTGGGGATACAGGGGTGCATAAGAAAAGGACAATACTACACTATACATGTAAACTTTAAAGAGAACAATTCAAATAGTGACAAATATTATGAAAAAGGGACACATATGCTATGATAGATGACAAGAATGGGGGGGGCAGGCAATGCTACTTTAGATGTGGTGTCAAGGAATGTCCCCCCAAGGAGGTGCTGTCTAAACTGAGACCTGGATGGCAAGCAGGAGTGAAGAGCCAAGGGAAAAACGTTCCAGACAGGGAGAAGAGCTCATCCAAGAACCTGAAGGTGGGAATGATCTCGGTAGGTTCCAGGGGTGGAGACCAGGGGTGGAGGCCAGGCAGGCATGGCTGGAGTGAACTGAGGACAGCAGTGGCTGGAAGTGAGGCTGGAGATGCAGGCAGGGTCTTGGTCATAGAGGGCCATGAAGGTCATAAGGATGTGTTTAAATTTTATCATAAGAGTTATGGGCAGCCTCTGGAGGAGTTTAATCTTAGGAATAACATTATCTGCTTTACATTTAAGACAATCACTCAGGCTGCTCTATAAAGAATAGGGTGTGGAGGAAAGAGTGAAAGCAGGAACTTTGGTCAGGAGGCTAGTGTAATGATCCAGGCCACAGATGATGGTATCTTGGACTAGGGTGATAGTGCAAACAGGCAGAAAAGGGCAGATGTGAGTCTGTTTTTGAACTCAAGCAAATGAAGGTGGGATAGTGTGTGAAGAAACAGGCCACACAAGAATGCTCCTAGGTTTTTTGGCCTGAGAGACTTGGTGGATTTTCTTAGCTGAAGGAGAGGAATGGGTTTTGGGAAAAATATCAAAGAGAACTCACACAAGCAGGCTGGAATATAGCACAGTGACAGTACCAAGTGCAAAGGGAGGCAGGTGAGAGAGTGGCCAACGCTGGAGCTGGGAGGAATGTGAGAGGGTGGGTGGACAATGGGATTGCAACTGTGCTCTGAATTGCTGGCAATGGTAGGAATGGTGGTCCCATGAAAGGAATGGTTTGAGCCTAAGTCTGGACAAGAGCAGGTGCAATAAGCTCATTTTTCAAATCTCTACATATTTGTTTTTGGCAGCTGAGGAAACTGAGACTCAGAGAGGTGTAAATACCTTGCTCAAGGTCATACAGTTAGAAAGTGGTAAAATCAAGATTCTCACTCCAAGCAAGAGTGCTAAGTGGTGAAACTGAACATAGGAGTACAAGAGGGGAACAAAGACATGGGCTGTAAGACATAAGATAGGAAAGGTGAGGTTGGGCCAAATTGTGAAGGGCTTAGAGTGCCAGAATGAAGAGGATGGGGCTTATGTTGTTGGTGTAGATTGGGGTGAGGAAACTTTTTTTCTGCCAAGGGCCATTTGGTATTTATAACACCATTCTCGGGCCATACAAAATTATCAACTTAAAAATTAGCTATAAAAAAAGCTCCTAGATGTATTGAATTTCGAGTCCCACCTGTGGTTGACTTGGCAGGGCCAGACCAAATGATTTCACTAGCTATACACAGCCCTCAGACTGGACATTCCCCACCTCTGGTGTAGATGAAGAGGAGCCATTATAGGCTACCCAGTGGGCAGGAAGCATGATCAGCACTGTGATTTTGGAAAGTACCTGGCTAGATAGATGGGCTGGAGTGGATAACACCTCATAACATAATCGCTTGTTTATTTTTTTAAAAACACAATGTCAGGCACTGTCTTAGGTACTGGGGATATAAAGACAAGCAAACCCAGACACAATCTGTGCCCATATGGAAAAATTTAACATAGTAATCAGATAAGTGTGCAAACAAGTGTAGAACCTGAACCATCAAATGGCAAGTAATTACACAACTATAAAGGCACTTAGTAACCAGGGTTTGACCTACTTTAGGGACCAATTAAGACTTCCCTGCTGAGAACTGGGCATTCATTTGTGAACCCGGAAAAAGAAAAAGACACCTACTAAGAAGGGCTCCTGGTGGCTAACTGGGCTGGCTCAAATGCAAAAGCAGAGCCTAGCAGCCATTTCTATACAGGGGCCTCTTATGCAAACTGCACTTCAGAGAGGCCTGCACTGAACTGCCTGCCTGCACAGTTTCTGCCTAATGAGCCAGCCATCATAAAGGTTTCCTGGAATCCTACTTCAACCAAAGGGATTGAAGGTTTCCCCATCTAACCAGACCTGTGCAGCTCTGGCCAATCAGAGTGGCTCTATCCTGATCAATCAGGAGAGTGCCTTTTTAAAAAATATGTATCTTTATTTTTAATATATCTTTATTGATCTCAGAGAGACGAAAGGAGAGGGAGAGAGATAGAAACATCAATGATGAGTCATTGCTCGGCTGCCTCCTGCATGCCCCCAACTGGGGATCCAGCCGGGGCATGTGCCCTGACTGGGAATTGAACCCCGATCGCCTGAGTCCTAGGTCAACACTCAACCGCTGAACCACGCAGGGCTGGGCAGGACAGTGCCTTTTGGACCAATCAAACTGTGAGAATTTGGAGCCCTCATTTGCATGAGGATGGACCAATCAGGGACCAGCGGCGGGGACTTCTGTCCATATAAGCCAGCTCCTCTCCCACCCTAGGAGCTCACTTTCTCATCTTGGGAAGGACTTGTTTCCCTGGCTGAACTAGAGCACCAACTAGACTAATGGAGGAGAGAAGAGCAGAGCAGTGTAGTGCACAACTGACTGGAGCCAGGGGCAGAACAGCTCTGTGTAGCCAGAGAAGGGCCTGGCCCCAGGGCTGCCTGGCCCCAGAGCTGTTCTGCAGCCGTATTTTTCACAGCCTTGCTGTATTGCAATTGAGCTGTTTTGCACTAAAACTTTCCTTCTTCACTGCATCCCAAATTGGGGATTCTTGTTGGTGTTGAATTGGAGCCAAGACCATCTAGTGACCCACTGACCCTAGTTCTAGGCCACACTCTGCCCCTAGTCCACTACCTCTTTGGACCTCAGTGTCCCCACTCATGAAAGAAGAGACTCTACGAATCGAATTTCCTCTCCCATTGCGGGATTTTCCTCTCCACAAAGACCACAGATCCACTCCAAAGCTACTAATTGGCACGTGGTGCCTTGACATTAGAGCAAAGTAATTCAGCCATTGCCTTTATCTCTCCAGGTAGCCTCCGCCAGTTGCCTGTTGTCACGGTAACCGCATGGGCACATCTCTGGCGGAAACTTGGAGTGACGACAGCAAGTAGCCACTATCATGTGTCCTATTTGCCAGGTTAAAACATGGCCACCGCCGCAACACCCAACCTAAGCTTCTCGCTAAATACCCGAGCCCGACTATCCCGGAGCCTACTTTACCGCAGGACAGGAAGGAGTAACGCTCCAACAGCCAGCGAACAAAATTTCCGGGAACCGCCCTCCCACCTTAGCCCCTCCCACCTTAGCCCCTCCCACCTCTCGGGGCCGGACCACCGCTCTATAGCGTCACTTCCGTCGACCCCTGCGCTCAGGATTGACAGGCGCGCCACCCAATGAAAAGTGGGTATGTCCCTCCAGGCCCCAGGCGGGGGCGGGTTTGAGGTCCATCGCCGACTTGTGACGTCAGAGTCGACATGGCCAGCTATCCCTACGGGCAGGTGAGTATGTGAGGGGCGGACGGGTCTAGGCAGGGGCCTCGCCAAGTCCAGGCCCAGAACCCCAGCTTTGCTTTCTCTCGGGTTTCTCCCGCCGAGATTGGCTTCAGCGAGGTCTCGCGCGGATGACAAGGGAAAAGCGATGGTCGGTCGCGCCCGTCTCACGTCACGCAGGACTGCACGTCCGGGAGGTCGCGTCGCGCCCCCTTTGGCGTCGTGCAGTGAAGGATTTGGGGACCTTGGGCCCCACAGGCTCAGGCTGGGCCTGGTCTGGGCCCCACGCTTCCCCAAGGCTCCCGCAGGGTGCACGGGCAGGGTCGTGGGCGCCAACAGAACGTTTAGAGCGCTGGGCTGTCGGTATCGCTTGGGGCGTCCGATGAAAGTACACCCCTGACTCTCTGCATCTGAATAGTCGGCAGAATCTTTGGTTGTAGTGGGCTCCACAAGTGAGCTTGTTTGACTGCTCGGCCCAACACCTACATTTCACATATAGGGAAAATGAAGCCCAGGAAAGACAGAACTTACCTGAAGTCGCCAGGCCATTAGGCAGCACGCCCCGGAGCTGTCAGCAAATGCTGCTTCTCCACTTGCCACCCATCTTGATCCAGCCAAGACCACCACAGCAAGGTGATTCTGTGGTCACAATCCTTTGTTGGGTGGTAGAATGGTTGAGTGGTTAAGTACAGTTCCCAGCCGAAGTTTCCTGCTCTGTAAAATAGGGCCAAGAAATAGGGTCTGCGTGATAGATCTGTAGAGTAATGGCGCGGTGCTTGTAAGCCATTTGGTACTACTAAGAGTGTATAGCAGGTGTTACCTTTTCATATTTTGATTTTTACTGGACTCCTAGGTCAGTGCTGGGAGGGCACTCAAAATAGTTCCTTCATTTTAAAAGGAGGAAACTGAGCCAGGAAAGGGCTCCTGATCACACTAATTTAGGAGATAAAGCCCATGCAGGAAAAATTGTTAAACAAGGTCATATGGGATATTACAGTTGAGTATAGTTAACATGCCAAAAGATGGGACAAGAACCCTCTGAGCGAGTGCAGCCCTGTACAGTTTTTGTACACGGTATTTGGACCTCCATTATCTCAATCATAAAGACTTGGTATACATACTAGCAGGTGCCGGAGCCTGCCGGCAGTCGAACGGGAACCTGATTGAGGGGGTGAGGATTGGAAAAGAAAGACAAGAGACAGGATGGGATCGGGAGGGCTGCAGCTCATTCCTGTTGCCAGCTGCCAGCTCCGAGTTTATTTTCTCCGCTCAATATATACAGGCACTGTTGATTGTGCTGAATAGCACCCTGCCCCACATTTCTTCCCTTAGCCCGATACTAAGTAATTCCTCCAAGGCCCTACGAATGCCTTTTCAGAGTAAACACCCTGCCTCCTGCAGGAGCTCAGGCCTTGGAAAGTATCCTTATCTCGGCTTCTAATGGGAACTTTTGGGGAGGATAGAGTCCTTGGCTTGGTATGTGGCTTAACTATCCTTTAACCCTTCAGGCCGGGGCCAGCTTCCTAATTAGCCTTTCTAGAATCTAGTGTTGCTTTGGTGCCTCAAGGACTGGGTCAGGGAGCAGGAGGGCACCTCTGCAGCTCACCCAGGCAGCTCCTCTGTGCCTGGGGCCACTAACTCATCCACATCTCCCTGGGGAAGCATTTTCCACTGATACCGTTGCATGGGTCTCTGCAAATTGATAGCTGGGACACTGAATGCAAACCGTTCCCTGTCCCTCGGATGGAGGGGGAGCGGGGGGAGCAGGGCGAGTGCTAGCACCGCTGCCCACCACTCGGGTCAATGCCTCAGAGATTTCTCTCTTGATGGCACTAGGGCAAGCGGGCCTCCCGGGTCTTTCTCCCTGGGCAGCACCTCGCCCGGCGGGTCCTCCCGGGGGGAGTCCCGCCGGCTCCCCACAAGCAGGGAGTGCTATCCCCAATTTGTAGCTGAGGAACCAGCCCAAAGAGGTTAAGGGGCTTGTCCAAGGTCATACATAGCAAACGAGAGGATGAGGCCAGGGCTAGAACTTAAACTCCTTTCATTGCCTACTTAGCAGAGGTAGGAAAGAGAGAGGCCAGCATGAGCCGGAATTAGGAGGAAGTATAACGTAGCAGTGTTTCCCAAGCTCCATTCTATTCTCTGAGTCTTGTGAAATGTTAATAGGTATTGCTAATGGAAGAGGATTCTGTGGTTAAATGTTTGCGGAATACTCTGTTAAATAGAGCTGAACAAGTTCACCACCACAAGGCATCTCAGTATTTCTTAAACTTACTTAACCATGGGATGGCCACCCCACCCCCCTTTTTTTAATGTGTAGTCATTTTTTAATTTTTTTTTTAGTAACACTAGTATTTCTGAGAAACATGATTTGGGTAAACATTGCCATAGTCCATTGTTTCTCAGTGGATGGTCTGCATCAGAATCACCTAGGAGCCTGTTTAAAAAGCACACTTTGGCCCTAACCTGTTTGACTCAGTGGTTAGAGGGTTGGCCCTTGGACTGAAGGGTTCCGGGTTTGATTCTGGCCAAGGGCTCATACCTCTGTTACAATGCTGGAGCGGGAGGCAACCAATCGATGTGTCTCTCTCACGTCAATGTTTCTCTCTCTCTCTCTCTCTCTCTCTGCTCTTCCACTCTCTCTGAAAAGCAATGGAAAAAATATCCTCAGGTGAGGATTAAAAAAAAAAAACACACTTTGGGGTTCCATCATAGACTGGTTCTGTACCTAGGAAGTGCCTTACATTTTAATAAGCTTTTGGAGGTAATTTGTATGCATCCTAGAAGAAGTGACATAGAAATTAAAAGCCTGAACTTCCAGGTTAGACAGACGAGGCTAGAATCCTAATTCTACTTAATAGTTATATGCCCTTGGACAAATTGTCTAAGGGCTCAGGGTCTCAGTTTCCTATTGTAAAAAGAGAGTCCTAATATGTCATAGGACTGAGGTGAGGATGAAATACGATAAAACTTATGGGGGGCTTGGCACATGGCTAATACCGAGTGGATGCCAGTGCATGGTGCCATAGCTCTTACTGCGGCGATTGCGGTTATCATGCCATGCTGCCCGGGCTTATGCTCAGTGAAATACTGAAGAGGAGTACAGAGAGAAACTGGAAGAGAAGAAGAAATGCTTTTGCTTCCCTCTCATACCCTTGTCCGCCTCTTCAGCCCCTGGTCCATGGTGTCCCAAGAAAGGAAATGGGTTGTTTCAAAGCATCCAAAGGTATAACGCCACCTCCCCTCCACCTAGACCATATAGCCCTGGAAGATGCCAGCTTATTGTTAGAGGTGAAAACTAATTTTCCACTGCCTGTAGCCCCAGGGTCCTCAAGCATGGGCTGGGTGTTGGAGTAGTAAAACTCAAGTACCCTTTGATCCTGTGGAGGAGCCAGCCTGATGGGTTTCAATGCTTAAGAGCTTGGTGTCTGAGGCTGGAGACATTTAGCTTCAAATTCCTGCTCTGCCATTTCCTTTTCTGAGAAGTTTCTCAGAAAAGTCTGAGACTCGGTTATCCCCTTCTTTAAAATGGGTTATAAGGAGATGGTCAATGTAAAGTGCTTGATATGGTGTTTTGGCATAGAGTAAATACTCCATGTGAAAGAGTGATATAATATATAAATTGTAATGACAGTGTGATAAGTATTAAATGGGAGTAAGTGTAAGGTACTAGGACAGCACAGGAGGGATGCCTAACTCAGTCTCCGGGGGAGAAGGGTTTTTTAAAGGAGATGGCATTAAAGCCCAAATTGAATCTCCAGGAGAAGTTAGCTGGGTAAAGAAAGGTATGGTATTCCAGCAGAGGGAACAGTGTGCTCAAAGGCCAGGAGGCAAGTGAGAGAGCCCAGTATTCTGGAGGAATTTGAGGACATCAGTCCGCATGCTGTGAAGAGGGGGAAAGGGGTAAGACATGAAACGAGCAAGGTAAGCAAGGATCAGATTCCTTTTTGAAGAGTGTGGACTTTGTCCTAAGAGTAGCGAGGGAACTGCTGAAGACATTTCTCCATTTATACTTTGGAGTATCATCATGGGGCACTGTGAGAGTGGGTTGAAGCAGGAGAGACTGGAGGCAGGGAGACTAGTTTCAAAGCTATTGAACTAATCTAGGTTAGAGAGAACAGTGACCTGGTGAAAATGGGTTGAGAAGCATTTGGGAGGTAGAATTGAGAAAACTTAGTGTGGGAAGGGAGGAAAGAGATGCCCGGGAGGGCACTAGGTTTTCCCATTCACTGAGATGGGAACACAGAGAGAGGAATAGATTTGGAGAGAAGGTCCAGGAGGTTGTTGGATACATGGGCCTGCGGCTTAGGTGAAATGAAGCTGGAGAGAAAGATGGCACATTCGGAGTGTCAGCACAGATGTGGTCAGTGTCTTGGGACAGTTCTTGGCTCACTGTTTATTGGCTGCAGATTTCTGGACTTTAAATATTTTAGGAGGCTCTACTAGTGAATGTCCGAGCCACTCCTTTGACTTGTGATTGTTTAACCCCTTAGAATAGGCTCTCTCCTCCTCCAGCAGGCTCTTTTGAAGGGTAGCTCCAGAGCACAGGCTTGCCTTGGCAGTGCAGCCCACTCTCTTCCCCACTGGGACTCAGTGTGGACCAGCCTTTGACCCCTCTGAGCTTCACAAGGGCCTAGAAGGTAGAAGAATGAGCTCTCAGAGCCAAAAGAAACTATAGGACTTTCTGAGCAGATTGTTTGGGGTGGGGTGAGTGCCCCACCACTTGCAGGAAAACAGATTCCAACATTGAGCGGTTGGACTGTAGGGTCTTTGGGATTTCTTACAATACTGTGGCTCTTAAATTGGGTCTAGAAGCTGGGGTGCAAAAATAATAACATTCTTCTGAATCTCCCTGATTTCTGGGCTTGAAGCCTCTGAAAGCACTTATCTAACCCTTCCCCCCCCCCC